GGAAATAGAGAGAGAAATAATAAAAGCACAAAGACTAAAAGTATAAAACAAGAAAGAAGAAAAGAAAACACTGGAAAAAAGAGAATAACAGCACAAATTAAGAAAGACGAAAAGGAGAGGAGAGACTGCAAATAGAGAGAATAAGAGCACAAATTGAGATCACCAAGCTTACCCAACAGAAAGATGAAGGATCCAAGATTGACAATGTGGTCAGAGCCAGCTAACCCAAGCTACCCAAATTTGATGAACAGAAAGAGGACATGGATGTGCTTTCCTGGAGAGATATGAAAGATTCACCCAAAGTCAAAAACTGGGACAAAGGTAACTGGGCAGTCTGTTTTAGCTAACTTCTCACAGGTAAAGGGCTAAAAGTATATGCAGGCATGACGTCAGAGGATGCCATGGACTATGACAAGTTAAAAGTGGCCTTGCTGAAATGCTATGAACTTACCGAGGAAGGTTTTCATTGAAAGTTCAGAGAAGTCAAACCTGACACTGGAGAAACTGTATTTCAGTTTGTGGCACATCTACGGAAATAATTCACAAGATGGACTGACATAGTCAAATGTGAAAATAGTTTTGAGGGACTGGCAGATCTACTAATACATGAACAGTTCATGATCATGTGCTCAACTGATATGTCACTGTTTTTAAAGGAGAGAGCACCAAAAAACGTGGACGAGATGATCAAGCTGGCAGAACAGTATATGGAAGCCCATGGAGGGAGTATAACTGGCAAGTCCAAGAATATCTAGTTAAAGTCTAAACCAGTGGTGGCTGACCCGAAGCAGGAGTTCACCAAAGATGACAGGAGGTTAAAAGACAAATGATAGAAGATATGCTATATTTGTTACACAATAGGTCACATTGCAAATGAGTGCAAGTCCATCACCAACAAGCAACAGCAGAAATCTCAACATAAAGCAGGTGGAGCTACCTACAAAGATGGTGCTGGCAAGAAACAAGAAAATTGACTGTCACCATGGTGTGGCTGCCAGAAGCAACAAAACACACCAAATTCACCATAAGAAGGAAGTGCCATTTCCAAGATTGATCAATGCACTACTAATGGTCGGCTCAAGTTAACAAATGGATCATTATTGTCAGTAGTGATCAGAGCATGCTACAAATATCGAGAGGCCAACAAATTACAACATGCAAATAGGCAAAGGCTATGTCAGGGACAAGAAAGTGAAGGTCCTACGAGACACTGGGTGCAGTAGTGAGAACCACTTTAGTATCTGATGATCAGATAACAGGCAAGGTACACCCGTGTGTGTGCTCATTGATGGGACAGTGAGAAAGTTTCTCATAGCAAAAATAAAGGAGGATATTCCCTACTACATGGGAGACCTTGAGGCCATGTGTATGAAGGCACGATTATACGACTTAGTGATTAGAAACATACCAGGTAGTAGAAATTTGGAGGAGCTAAACAGAAAGAAGACTGATGAGGCATCTGCAGTCACTACAAGAGCTCAAGAGAAGAAGAGCAAGCAAGTTATCAAACTCTTGCAAGTATCAAAAAGTAACATCCCGAATGTAGGTCTATGGGAACTGAATCAAGTGCAGAAGAATGGCCCTTCACTGCAGAAACTTCAGAACAGTGACCAAGAGAAATTAGAGCATAAGACAAAGGAGAAAGAGACTAACAAAATAGAGGACCAAAAAGGAGTATTGTACTGGAACTATCAAAGCAGTGCTACTGGGAAAGCTAAACAGTAGGGTTGACGTTTCAAGGTCGACAAGGTCTTAGTTCAGCTATACACAGCCAATAACAAGCTCACCCTGCAGTGGAAAGGACCTTTTGCAGTACAGGAAGTGGTCAACAAAATGCACTATAAGGTGAGAGTGGATGGGACAACCAAGTTCTACCATGCTAATCTATTGAAAAGGTACTTCAATAGAGAAAAAGACCTTATGGGTGCAGCTATTGAGGTAAGGATGGACATGGAAGGTGTGGATGTCATAGATGCAGAACCAGAAGGCATGGACTATGTCATGGAAGATGAAGACCTACTAGGCCTAAGACCATTGCGTGGAGATGAGACATACAAGGACATCAACATAGGTGAAGAACTGACTGGCAAGCAGAAGAAAGACCTGCAGGAGCGACTGTGCCAGTACACAGATGTACTGAGCAAAACAGACCATGGGAAGCAGAAGATCAAGATAAAGGATCATGTCAATGTGAAGCCTTACCAGAGGCCCTATGAGAAGAGAGACCAACAAGGAAACTGCAAATGGTGCAGACTATATGAGGAAATTTAGTGTATGAACTGAAAACAGTCTTTTTTTAAAGTTAATATTGTAAATATTTTTCTTAAAGAGGGGCTTGTTGTTGGATATACAAGACTGTTTAATATAAGTGTTATCATTCAGTTTATTTTGTGACTTACTATTTAATGATTGTTTAGTTTTAATGACAGGAGTGTTGAAGGTTGATTGTTTTAAAAGCATTAGTTATGACAGGTTTCATTACGTAGCTTGGTAAAAGTCATGCGTTGTGTATGTAGTTTAATTGTTGTAAATTGACGCCATATTACTAAACCATTTTGTATTTTTCTCGTTGCCTTAAGTGAGTATTGTTACATCATAGCGTCTCGTAGTTTGTTGAAAGTTCTAGGCCTCAGTTGGGTAATATGTATATAAGTGACCAAGTGAGTGCAAGTTAAGTGCAGCTTGAAAAAGTTAGTAAAAGAAAACGTTAAGTTAGCTGACGTGTGAGTGATTAGCTTTAATGGGTGATTTCTTTAGTGTGTTTCACAGCTGCATTGTAACAACAGTGATAAGAAAAATAATTTGCCTTGTCAATAGGGTTCTAAAGTAACTAAACCAGCTTGTGTGGACTTTCGACGAAAAAATGGAGACAATTATTTAAAGCTCTGAATACAACTGTGGTAACCAACAAGTTAAATACAAGTTAAGTTAGAAAAACTAAGTTAATGAAAGTGAAGTTAGACTGCATGATTGTTAGTTTATCCATAATGGGCAACATTTTAAAGTGAGTTTCACAGTTAACAGAGATAAGGAGAATAATTTGTCTTGTCAAAGAGTGTTCTGAAGTAATTGAACACGCCTGTGTGGAGTTTGACGAAAAGGAAACAATTATTTAAAGTTCGAGATACAACTTTGGTAACCCACGGGGTAACATAAGTGAATCTATAGCAGAATGTATAGTAAGAAACATAGAGAAAATAATTCGTCTTGTG